CCCCAAAACCCCAAAACCCCATAATCTAAACTATAAAAATTGAAAGGTATATAAATATTTAAGTGAAAAAAAAACAATCAGGATTTATTCTAGATCTGCTAAGTTTATTTATTAGTTTGAGTACTGTGCTGCTTAAGTTAAGACTGAGAAGATTAATTTAGTTATTGGGTACCATATGTTTAAAGAGGTTGATTTGTTCTTAAATATTATTAAGACTTAGTTGTGTCGCCAACTTTCTATATTTGATTTAGAAGTGAGGGGTTTTTTAACTTGATAATCTTGGCAAGCTCTGTTAATCTTTAGTTTGTCAGTTTATTTTAAAACTGAGCTAGTTAATATCTATAGCTGACGTGTTTTTTGATTATTGCTTCATCGACAGTACTAAATTAACACTTATAGAGTTCAATTGATCTGTATTCAATGCTCTAGGTGAAACTTAATTCTGATGTCCCGTCACTATTCATAGCTATCTCACATTAGTAACTATCAACATATTTATTCAGCAATATTCTTACATATTCTAATCCTTTATGCAGTTGTTAAGCATCTTAATAAGCATTGTAGCATAGTCTGAGAAGTTTATCTTCAGTTTTAACTCTTTCTTTAATTCTTCAAAATTTTGTAGATCAACTCTATATTATCGTAATTATAAATTAAGCAAAGTTCATACTAATGTTTGTATAAAAAGAAGTAATCATGACCACTTAGTAATTCTATTTTCAAAGACTGCGGATTGGATGCTGATCCCTATATTTATACTGTAAATTACATATATGTATGCAATCAACTTACTTATAACAAAATTTTAAATGTAATTGATTCTCTTGAGCCAACTTCTTGTCCAACCATCTAAAGTATTCTCTACTCAGTGATCTTTATGACCAGAGGAACTTCTCTTTCATAAATTATTCTAAATCCCCCAACTATTTAATTGGTAAATCAATGGAAGGATATTATACAAAGGCTAGGATCATTTTATTGAATTTGATAAAGATCATTCGTTGAATAATCTTGCATGTTTTCTTCCATTTTAACAATTTAAAATTTACAGTTTATTTTTAACTTATTTTAAAATTAAATATAAAATCAATCAAGTTTATTTAAAGGCTATCTGGCTATTAGGTACAGATTAGATTTTATGACTCTATTAAAAATCAATAAATCAATCTTCAAACTTTCTACTGCTTACTTTTTGATCTTATTCTATATTTCATTGAAACCTTGTCAATTGTTTGATCATTTTCATTCATGAAGATCATTTTCACAGACAAACTGATGTTTATTTTTCATATCTGCACACTCAATTTATAGTGTGGTATGGAAAATCTTATATTTTCTTCTGCATAAATCTGTTGCTAAGTCTAGTGTCTTACTAGGTGTGTCTGATAACAAATGTGCACTAAGTGCAAATTTATTGACGCTCATTGCCCAAACATGAAAGTCATGTACTTCTTGCACACCCTCAAGCATGAGCAAATCTTCTTCTAGCTTCTAAGTGTCAATAGCTTTAGGAGAGCCCTCTAATAATACAAACATGCATTCCTTAAAGATAGGAATAGTGGTAAAGCAAATGATTACTGAAAACAAGTAGGTACATAATGGATCTACAATTTTAAACTCTGGCTTTATATAAATGATGACGGCAGCAATGATAACTCCAACACTCATTAGGAGATCGCCTAAAACATGCAAATAAGCGCTAGTCACATTGATATTCCATCTAGGAGCATCTTGGTATATTGATTTTTCTTGAGTTTAATGAGACATTATTATGTTTTGATGTTAATGAGAGCCTTATTTATCAATGAGTCCTTCCATAAGTTCCTAATTTTACACAAGTCCTCCATAGTTCTTCTTTTTTGGAGGGCTGTTCTAATGGCTGTGGTCATGATCTATGTTTCCATGGCCATGATCGTGATGATGATCTCCACCTAAATGGTGATGACCTTCTCCAGAGTGCAATATCTTCATCTAGATCAGGTTGAATATTAAACCCATTATAGCAACAATGAGCATTGTACCTCCTAGTACTTCTTTTGGATAAAAAATTCTCCAGGTTGCTTCCTAAATCAACCAAAGTGTCAGTCCCCAAATAAAAATGATACTAACTAGTGTTCCTACTACTTCAGCTCTGTGGTATCCGAAACTAAGAGATTTTGTAGCTGGCTTAGCTGCAATTATCAGAGAGAATATAGAAATTGCGAATCCAACTAGATCAGAAGCCAAATGAGCGGAGTCTGTAAATATGGCTATGGATTACGCCATGTATCCACCAATCAATTAGGCCACAATAAAGAATACTGAAACAAACGCCACAAGGTAAAGCTTTTTCTTAGCTTATTCCTACTGAAGCCTTAATTTCTCCTTCATCATCTAAAAGTTTATTGGCGACTTGATCTTGATAGGTGTATAGGCAACGTTAGATTAAAGTTATGGATCCATTACTTAGGCGAAAAAATTTGAATAGTTTAATTATATCCTCCACTAAATCAATTTAAGCAAAAATATTAAGGTATAATTCATAATAACTTTGTTAAAGATTTGTTATGATCTCATTCAGGGGTTTTGGGGTTTTGGGGTTTTGGGGTTTTGGGGTTTTGGGG